AAACAGTAAACTTGGCATATGAGATATAATTACTGTGTTCTGCGGGCTGGAATAGAAAGAAAACAGTTTTTACTTAACTGATCCTGTTAGAGCCTGAGGAGAGGTAGCCATGAGTCTGTTTGTAACAGTTAACTTAATACGCTCAGCCAGCAATGCACCTTGTAGTCTCAATGCAGACCAATTAGACCAAGCCAGGCCAGGAGAAATGTATGCCAGCTGTCTGATGGCCCTGCAACATTGCCATTTTGAGGGTTTTGCTAAAGTGCTTTGTTTCCTCCAGAACTATGGAGGATGCCCCACTAGGCTATCTTTTCTCCCTTTCTGCCCAGACCTTCTGGTAGACCTGAAGTGGACTAGGTGTGATCAGAAGTGAAACAGCTGTTAAGGCAGGGCTTCTATCTCTGTATCTCTAATTCAGACATGGCTGATATGCAAGTGCTTTTAAGTGATAACTAGGCATGAATTTGGTAAACATTAAAATTGGCGAACCTGCCTGATGGGTTTAAATACTGAATCAAATCCTTGCCTTTAGGAAGGTTAGTTATTACATTCCTGGCACTTGCATCATATCAGGAGGCCTTAAGCTGAATGCAGTGTTAATTTCTCGCTGTCTTGCACTGTGAGGCTCTGGGAGGGTGGTGAGGAGCCAACCCACAAACCCATCAGTTTGACTTTGATTCTGAGACTACATAAGATGCAAAACACTGTGCAGGTATGGCTGACGTCTGTTTAAATTCAAGGTCTGGGGCTGTATTTGATATTCTAGAGCTGAGCTAGAAGATCTATCAGCTGGCTGAAAGGAAAAGCATGTCTTAGGCTGTAAGATATGCTACTGAATTTTGTCTTTCAGACTCTACCTTCCCAGGAATGAGCTGGATAACCCTCACAAGTCTAAAACATGGAAAATCTATAGTGAGACATTTGCTGTGGAGGTGAACTTTATTGATCCATAAGGGAAATCTGAAAGAAGGGAAACATGTAAAATTCATCTCTTTCCTGGAGAATGTCTTGCTGTTTCAGTGTTAAGGGAAGCAGTGTCATCTGGATGTACTTAATGTATTTCTATGTAGATACAACATTCTGAAATAAAGTTACATGAAGTTCTGTTGTGCAGGGCAAAATTACTCTGAAGAGTTACTTAATGTCAGTTGATTATCACATCATGGGCTGTTGGATTTTTGGAGCTTATATATCTCTCCTTACAGCTAATTCCTGTTTGAGTAATCTAAGGCAACTACGTGTCTTTAAGCATAAGCATTAACATGATGGTTGCTGAAGACCAGAAGTCTGCATGAGACTGGAAACACCTGACATGACTCTGTCAGCACTGGAGTTTTCCACAGATCCGTAGAATGTGGGAATTTTGAGGGAGAAATATTAATCTTCCTCTGTTGGATTGCTGCTTCTTGAGCAGAAGCCTTGGTATTAAACTGCTCATCATCAGTAATGAGTGTTGTAGGACTTTGAGCAATACCTGGCCTGGGAGCTGCCTGGAGAAGTTAGAGGCTGCACAGCTGCTTTTCTACTGCTGTACCTCCCCACAAAGGGCTGCAATGGCCACTTTCCCTAAGGCTTAAGTCTGGCTCTCATCAGCTCTCGAGTGTTCCAGCTGCCTGGGATCAGTTAGTGTGGCTGCCTTTAATACTTGCATATGAGGGGTTTGATCTGTGCACCTGCTCATTTGAGCAAATGGTGCAAATGCTCACTGGCTTCTCTTGAGTTGTACTAAGACCTGTAATGCACAAACTTCCAGGATGCTTATTCTACTTTCAACTATTCTCAGCAGTGCGGCTTTTCTGTGGAGACTGTGCCATCATTTGTGTGAAATGTGCTGAGGTGTTAGCTTCTTGCTTCTGCTGCTTCATTAGTCTTTTTGTTGTTGGGAACCAAAAAGTGGAAGGGAAGTGACATAGCTTTCCAATTAATGAAATAAGCAGAGAGGTCATATACCTTCTCTTTGCTTACTTGAAGGTAGTTATGTAGTATGAAGTATATCATTGTGGGCTCAACTTCTGCTATTGCTATGTGTTTACCTCAGTGTCCGTGTGAATGTGGCTAGGGGCTAAAAAAGGATGCCCTTTTATTGCAGCTACAAGTGGCTGATGCCCAAGTTCACTTTGGCTTAGCTCAGGCAGTTGGGTATCACTGTCCTAGGATGCACTTTGGTATAGTTGGCAGGGCACAAAGGTGACCCATCATCCTGCTTAGGGAGTAAGCCAGTTTCCTCAGCAGCAGAGGCTGTAAGAGCAAGCCAGATTTGTCTACCTGAGGCACATGCAGTTAAGTAAAAACTAATATGTAAGCAGGAATGAGGAACAAAATAGCTTTACAAGGGATATACTGTATTTCTATTGAGAGATCCAGGCACTGCTGCTCAGAAGAGGGTAACAATAGGCCCTGCCTCCCTGTTTCACTGACCTTCACAGGGTAGTGGACATTTGTCCCTTGTATATGTGGAATTTAGGTGACCTATGCTGGACCTCCAGCGTTCTTCTGACAGAAAACCCTATAGCCTGCACAGTGGTAATCTAGAAACTTGGAATTCAAGGTGAACCCTAATACTAGAACCGACACTGATACTACAAAGCAGCAGGCCAAGTGCTGAACTATGCATTTCATTTTCCATACATGTAAAATCAGCAGTTGTTTCACAGCAACTTACTCTAGCTGCCCCCTTCCACTCAGTTTTGAGGGCTTTATATGTTCATTGATTGTATAAAGTCTTTTTCTTTCATTCCAGAGAGGTGGTGTTGCTGAATTCAACCTTTTTGTTTCTCAGCTAGATGAGCTTGTTAAATGGCATAAGCAATCATCACGTACTCAGTTAATCAAATGAAACTTTATTTCTGTGAATTCCTATACCAACATTATGAAGTTTTTAGCTGGACAACTGATACACATGTACAGCTTAAGCAGCTCTGAATGGAAAAATTACTGCTTACGTCAACTTCAGAAGGTAAACTCTCAAAATTACTACCAGCTTCTTGCTGTCGGTTGTTTTAAATACCCTGCTTCTCTTGAAGCTTCAATTCTTGTATTAAAAACTGCAACCATGAGCTTTAAAAAATGAAAGCAAAGACAAATCTAGGAAATAGATTGAAGTATTCCACTGAGGTGGAGCCTGTCCTCACCTTTTCATAACTATTAGAAACATTATTAACTAGACAACTTTGAAAAGAAGGGAAATCTAACAACTCTTAAAGCCTTATCCTCCTACCTGAATCATTTAAACATTTGGTATCAATTCCTTTTAAATACTGGCAATGTAGAATAGTGCTGCCCCTAGTGTACCAGTCAGTCAAGGTGTATTGGTGCAATAGACACTGAAGGTTCTTCAGCCGTGTCCTGCTTTAACTGCCTTTTCTCATGGTGTATGAAAGAGAGATGAATTGTTCTTTCTGCACTTGGAGGCTAGAAGAGCAAGAAGATTTTGTGGAACTGCAGCAATTACCTTCCATCAAAGAGGCTGCAAAAATGCAAGGAATGAGCCAGTTTAAGTGTACCCTGGCTCCACTGCAAGAGGCAGCAGGTATTGAGGTGATTTCATCTATGCCTAAAGCTTGTTCCTATTTCTGGGATCTGAAAGGGAAGCTGTAACATGCAAAACTAGGTTATCCCAGCTCTGATTGTTGTCTGTCACTGACAAACGTGATTGCTGTAACAAGCTCTCCATGCAGCTGTGATGATCTCAGTAAGTTAAAGGGCTCTGTCTGTGCCCTCACTGCCCCCACACTGGTGGGCTGCACTTAGAGAACTCAGGCAGCATCTCTGTACAACTACAGGACGAGTTTGTGCTGTTCTAAGACCTGCTTGACTTATTCCAGGATAAGGCAGTAGCTGCTTCTTACAAAGCAGAACGTGCTTGTACAAAGAGCATTCTGCTTGAAGAATGAAAGTGGAAAGAGGTGTCACTGCACCATTTTGGGTAATACTAACTGCATATTTAATCAAGTAACATGACCAAGCAGGCCATGCCCTCCAGGCCTGAAGGTCATTCAGGCTATCCAGTCATATGAGATTTTTCCACTCAGCTGAAGAGGCACAGCAAGTGGCAAAACTCTGGCCCCAGTAAGACTGCTATGTCAGAGACCATGGTATCAGTTAACCACTCAAGTCTGGCTTTCTGTTCCTCTTCAGCTTCCTGTCCTTCTAGCATATGGCCTCATTCACACCAAGGTGTCCTAAACAGGAGCCTGCACAAAGTTGCAATTCTGTGTTCAGAACTAGCAGCTATTTCTAGCAGTGTCCCTTATGGTAAGTGGTGCTTAGCATACTCCAGCACTTCTTGAAGGGATTTAGAAAACAATATAGTGCAGCATAGCCTCCTTAATGTTGTTACTACGCTGCTTGTATCAAAAATAGGCGTATCTTGGGCTCTAAATCTCATATAAGGTAGGGGGTGAATGCTTCCTACTTTTATAAACCCATTCACTAAGACTATGCAAGTCAGACACCCTCTGCCATGACCTTAGCAAGTCACAGAGCAGCAGGGAACAGGTCAGGGATGGAGAAGGAAAGGTGTCCCCAGGTGAGGGCTATGTCCAAGTCATCTATACTCAGCAGAATTAGACAAGAACTGACATTATTTTGAGTCAGACATCAGCAACAGCTGCAAAAGGTCACAACTGCAGCACAGTTTTAAAACCAGTCCTTTGCTGTAGACAAACCACAACCTATTCTTGCATGTTACATTAAACCCCATAGGTCAATGTAATTATTTTTAGCACCATTACAGGTCAGGAAAGACATTTATGACATGCAGTGTACCTAGTGCAGAATCTGTAAGAGGGAGATAGTTCTGCTTGTGCAATTCAAGCAACATGTACACGCCTCCATAAAATCACCTGATTTTTAAAAGATTACAAATCTTAAACTGGAGTTGAGTTCCTAAAATTAGGTCACTGATTTGGTTCTGCTCAGACCATCATGTGATCTATGTGTTTTTCATCATTTATTTAAATGACCCTTAAACAATCTCTTGTTCTTCGTCTGCTAGACAGCATCAGTAAGAATCTATTTGTTTCATCATAAGTTTCCGGCTGTACTCATAGGCAAGGAACAGTGCCCCATTGGCCACGAATGCACGGATCATGGTTGGTGTTAGTCCAGAATACAAGGCAAGCACACCTGGAAATGAAACCAGAGCCAGTTAGCAGTTTATTAAAGCCGCTGTCTGCACAGGTAATAGAGCCCATTTCTTTATCTGCTTTTAATGATAGTAAGCTTCTGTTAGGTTTAAGTGAATCATCTCCTGAACCAAGAGGCAGAGAAGATGAAGTAGGTCTCAGTTTCTAGATTCCAAGCTTTCCACACTACATGAAGTAGGTATTTGTTTGCTAGAAACAGTTATAGTCTGTCTCTAACACATTATCACTGGCCTAGGTTTCTTAAGTGATTTTGGGTATTGGAGGATATAGATTTCAGTCTGCAGCCCTATAGGGTCAGTTGATCTGCTTGCATACTTACCTTCAGTTCTCACAACAGTTACAAATGTTCCCATAAAGCCTGCCTGTTTTCCAGCCATTGAAAGAACCTGAATTCTAGATTTGATACAATCCACAGGATACACAGCAATCCACAGACAACTGCCTCCGAAACCTCCACTTAATAACAAATGAATGGGACCTAAAAGTTAAGAAATATGTTTTTATACACCACAGTATTCACCAATGCAAATATAACATTATTTCATCTATAGGATTCAAAGGGAACAGAGGAACCTGCTTATGACAAAAGAGCAGTTGCTGTTCTCTCACTAACCTTTAAGTTAATTTCAAGACATTGGTAAATTGCAAGTCTTAACTAGAAACTTAAAGATTATTGGCCTCTTAGATTATTGCCCATGCCAAAAAATTATAACTCAGAATTCAGTTTTGACTATATTAACTAAATTCACTTTTTTAACACTTGTAATCACTTTCCAAGGTTAATTTTGAAATGGTTTAGAGTAACATCATGTAGTGTTCCTAATCGCATATACAGAGATTTATTTGGTACAGTAGAGTAATTTTGTGATCAGTCATTTCTTTCATGATACACCCTCATTTTATATTTCAGATCAGATGTTTCTAAATGTTTTGTTGCAGGTCCAAAATGCATAAGGCTGAAATCCTGACTCCAAGCAAGACAAAGTATTACTGGTTCAGTCTTTTAACAGGAGACAGGAAATCTTTATTCTGGCATCACCATAATTTTTTAATTTCTAATTTTCAATCTCAATGTTCTCTTACTATCCTTGTAACTACATCTAATGGTCAGCATACAGTTCAGCCTATACTTGAACACACTGTTCAAGAGAATGCAGCTAAATACTTCACAATCACTCCGAATGGCAGCTGAAATTAAATAGTTCAGAGTTGTGTTACACTGTGGGGTCAGATATTTCAGCAGTTTTGTAGTGTTAGCTCACTGGGATAATTCTCTGTTTATGATACATCCTGCTTCATTGGAAAATGGTCCCTCAATAATTTACTACTATGTATACACAAGATGCAGCTCTCCATATCTAGTATGCCTCATTTCCTTCATGCTGCATGTATTTTGCAGCATCATTCGTATATTTTCAGAGAAGATATGCCCCCTTTATGTCCACCATGACACCATGCCAAAAGCCACCTGTAAAATAAGGCACCATACCTAATTCATCTTTTGATCTCCCAGAGGCAAAGAATGTCCGGCTCAGTTCATACCCTCCAAAGAAGAAGAAATAGCCTGGGACTTCCCGCAGCAATGTGCTTGACAGGCCACGATAAAATCCAAGGGGACCATCCTTTTGGATAACACCCTTCACTACTGACCAAACTGTACTGAGAGAGGTTGATCCAGTTAGTGATACTTAGGAGCCAGATAACGAGAGGTTACAGAACAATAGGCAACTGCAGCAACAATTAATGGTGAGACCTATTGTGCAAACACTTGAATTCATATAAGACTTAGAGCAAGATCCTGCTGGGAGCCCTTCACTGGCATCTAGCTTTACTATCACACAGAAGGACTGTAGGCTGTGATCCTCCCAGCCACAACTCTTCTCTGGTTAGCAGAGCACTATAAATGTGACACTGAGCCAATACAGGATTTGAAGAAATAATACACAAGAAAGGGTTTCAGAGATACTGAGCAGGGTCTATACTTACTTGTGTCCCTTGGTTATCTTTCCTGACAACTGCATTTCATGCATGGCCTGTAGCCGGCACTTCACCAGCTCTGTGGGACAGAGGACAAGGGCAGCAAAGGCAGAGGCGAAGGAGCCTGCAGCAGCATTCTGTAGGTCACTGCAAGAAAGAAACTGCAGAAGGTATTTGGGCACTGACCTTTAGTGCAGTGGAGCCACTGCCCCAGCAATCAGCTTCCTGAACCTGTACCTAGCATCAAGAAAAACTGACAGGCTTGGGGGAAAGATTCTCAAGGCTAAAGGGCTCGAACCAGAGGGAAGAAAGACCAAGCTCATCCCATTTTCTTATACAACTGAAAGACACCCTTTTGACACCAAAGAGATACATTGTAACCTCTACCCTTTTTGCTATGCTTCAGTGGTTGCAGCAGAATAAAAGCCAGGAAGGGAAGATTTGATAGCATTTATGAAGATTTTTACAGACTTGTTTTACTGGGCAACTTTTGGTTACTAATTACTTCCTCAAAGAGAATAGGAGCAATAATCACCTCATATAGATGTCAGTATTTTCAAATTCACCTTACAAGTATTAATAAAGGCTTTCAGTGGAAGATGCTAGGAAACTGAAAGTAGGCACAATGGATTGCTGTAATCTTTGTATGGATGTGCTGCTTTGAATGCAACCACGTGAATCAGAGACAGCACAAACATAAACCACACCACCAAACAAGACAGCACTGTCATCTGCAGTGACTCAGTGTTCTAAAACTGGGGCTTATTTTGTGGTGATTTTACACATACCACAGATTCCGGGTTGCTAAACTGCCAGGACTCAAAAGGCTGGTATTCCGGGGCAACACTTCTTTATGATGCATTTTAAACAGGCTCCTACAGATACTGGGGTTTTGGACAGTAGCTGCGTAGTAGCATAGAAGTGGAGCTTCTCTTTCAGAACCTGAGCAGTCAGCACAGCTGAGACTGATCTCACTGCAGCACAGAAATTCTTTCCATGCGAGGGAGGTGCTTGACTTGTGCCCAGAAAGCCTTGTACCTTGTCTGATACATCTATAGTATCAGAGAATCACAAAACTCAAGTTGTGACATGAAGCAAAGCTCATGACATTCAGATATGGTGGTAATGAGAACTTTCAAAGTGGAAGAAATCAGTAACTGCCTGCAGAGCAGCAAATGGAATTTAGCACTTCTCTTTCCATTTTGTTGTCTCACTTTAGACTTCAGCATGAAATGAAATCTGTTGAACTAAGCATGTATTAAAAGAGAAACAGTATTTAGCATTTCTCTCTTAATTTCTTTTCTTTGTGACTTATGCATCAGTGACATATTTTCCTTTAACTGAAAAATGTTTTATAGTTTCTCCTTTTTTGAAGGTGTAACAGTACAGTAAGAATGGGTGGTGATGTCCTGGACGGACCACATGTACTCATCAGGGCCCTGCTGAAGACCATGTCAATACCATTCTCTCTTACATGTACCTCATAAGGTGCCCCCACAATGATCCAGATTAAGAGAATAAGGAAACAATACCAAGGGACAATCTTTCAAGTAAATTTAAGTTCTTTAATGTTTTGTCCTAAAATAGCTCTGCAGTCACACTATTTGACCTTTAATCAACAAGGCATTAAAAAGCCATCTTGGATCTGAAAAGCACCATTACCTGACCAAGGAAAGACCTGTCAGATGCCAAAGGTGCTTGCTATTGCTACATACTCACATTCCCATTCTGTATCCAGCTCCAAAGACAGTAGTACACCAGTTTCAAAGTTTCCTGTGCTACCTTCCCTACATCCAACATGACCATGGTGCCTCAGTCACATGAGATGATCCTAGGACCTCTGCACATCTGTGGTCTACCTCCCAGGGTGATCACAAAAGACAGTGAAGAAGTGAAACATATTGCTGGTAGGCCTACCTCCTACATTTTAATGGGTAGGAAAAGGTAAGGGGTTTGTAGAGTGAGCAAGCTTTTAAACCTTAAATAAAAACATTTTAAAAGCAAGACAGTATTAGAAATGTGCCCTTTCCCCTTAGTATGCCTCTTTGTAAGAAGAGCTACTACCTCCCCTGCAAAATCAGAACAACCTAGATATTAAGGGAATACTAACTTTCAGGTGTTGAAATGCTATTGGTAAAAATGTTCCAGGTTTTGAATACTCCAGTTAAGCTATGATCATCTGAACTAGCCAGCTGCAGTGACTGGTTAGTAGATGGCTGTGTTATAGTGGACACTACATTGTCACACTAAGGCCTATATTCCAAAATTTACTATACGCTGTCAGAAGAGAACCTGGGACCTCACTTACACCCTGGCAGTACAGTATTGGCAAATAGAAATTGCATGAAATTTTATGTAATTATTTATTTTAAAATACAAACCAGATATTTATTACTAACCTGAGCTTTGTTTTCCTGTCTACTCCAACAATTCTTCTCACAATTTGTTGGCAAAATCCATAGCACATGAACAGAACTGAGTTCTCTGCAATGTTGGCTACAAGTGCTGGTGTGGTTCCCTTGTAGAAGCCTCGAAATCCCACTTGCTTATAGGTTTTGACAAAACAGTCAACAAGTCCTTTGTACAAGTTGGGGAACGTCTGCATCTTCACCTTTGCAGTGTCAAAGGGCTGGCCAGTCACCACACAGGCTGTCCCACCTAGGCAAGCAGTGGAAGTTAACAGAGTGGCTGAAGGTTTTCGTAACTGAAACACCTATGCTGGAGCACCAGGATTAGGAATGTCACACAGAAAGCAAAGATTAATTAATTCCCTGAAGGAAAAGACAAGTGCACTGATTTTAGCACAATGGCATCAATTGTCACTGGTGAATTTAGGTACCTTAAGGGAAAAAAATCAGGCAAAGGAGCAGTAACAGCACAATTCTCATTAAACATTTATCTCATGAAAAGCAAGCATCTAAATGAATTAGCTCACTTTTATAAACTTGTACGGAATTAGAGGTATTGTTCTGTAATCAAGTCACTTGTGTCAATGAGTTAAATAACATTTTCCTTTGCCCATTAATGCAGTGGTTCAGAAAGCATCCCTGATTTTACATTCCAATAATAAAAAAAAATCCCAGCCCTGAAAGATTAGTAATCAAGTGATTCCTGCAGGACAAGAAGAACACTGCTGAGAGTGCTAAACTGATCATACATAATAAATTGATAACCAAAGACTCAAACCCTTTACTTCAAAACTCCAGATGGCTCTTAAGCACATTCCTTTCCAGAGACTGGAAGAAAGTGTTAAGTATAAGCTGAAAAAGGACAAAAGGGCAAAGTTTCTCAACATGTTATCTTTTTCAAACTGAACGGCAAGGTCAATACCCTGAAAACTTGTGTGATATTTCCATCTCAGTGTCATCAATAATCATTTTGCTCACAGCGCAGTGTTCTTCTGCAAGATCTAACTTAATTCTGTAGGCTGCAGGAAGAGCTGATGTTATACTTTTTCAGTAAGAAACAGAGTACAGTGATAGCAATCTATTAGAAGCAGATACCTGACAGGAAGCACAAAATAGGTGTACCTTATATAGGGTTCATGGTTTTGTTTTTTTAGTAAGAGACAAGAACTGTACTAAAACAGAAGCTGATCTTTAACCAAAACACAATTGACATGCACATACCTTATATTATCTGTAAGTGCAAATAGCAAAGTACGTGAAATGGAAACAAATTTGTACATCCAATTAAGATTAGTTATTTTTAAGTGGGGAGAAGAGTAAGCATTTGTTTAACTAGTGTTATTTGCAATCCATTTTACTCTTTGCAAACACATTTGTATTACATTGTTCTTGCTTCTCTGCCAAGAGATACTTCAGGCCTTTGAAGGAAACTCAGGATCTAACTGCCATAAAACCTCATTGCCAACCAGATGGATCATTAAAAGCTTCAGAGCAAATCATGCAAAGAAACACAAACATTTTCCTGCTCTGGAAGAATAACCAAGGAGAAAGGTAGCTAGCTCAGACCAGTAACACCAATGTAAGCTTCAAATGAAAAGCAGAGCTGGGAAGGCTCAGCCAATGTTATTTGCAGGGAAGTCAGGTAGAGATTAATCTACAGGACAAATGCTAGGTTCCTGTAATAAAATAATGTCTATTGGAAGATGTCCTGGGAAACCAGGAATGGTCTTGGAAATGTAAAGCTGAAAAATTGGAAGCTGACAGAATGGCTGTTCCAAAAAGGCTGTTATTGGATTTGGCTCAAAAAGTCTAGTAAACTGCAGCAATGAACTTTGTAAGCTTTAAGATAAAGATCAGGAGTCCTAGTTATTATCTGAAATATTAAGAAAAAAAAAATTATTCCAGCCAGCAGTAAAGAGTCATAAAAAACCCAACCCACCCACAAAATTAAAACAAAACAGAAACCCAAAAATTCAAATCTGTTTGAACATTGAGACAAGTGTGGTCCTAATAATAACATGGCAGTGGTGGAGAAGAGAGTCCTACTGAATCAAAGAAGGGATTAGAGGTTGCTTGAATCCTAGGCAAAAGACTATGACCACAGACAGCCAAAGGATTTTTTTATTTTTGTCCAGAATTTGCTTGCCTCAATATGTCATTACTTATCAGGTAGTCAAGACTGTATCTGGAGAGGAAGGTAAAACCAGGTTACGCATTTTCTGGAGGAACGAGCTGTTTGCTTACTTAATTACATTTTCTAAGGAGTGCAGATTGCCACACCAGACTTGTGCTGCTACCCCTTGTTTTCTCACTGCACTGTTAACCTCCACTCTGACAAATTACCTCAAATAACTACCATTGAATGCACTTAACACCATTAATACTGTTATATTCACAGCATTATCGTTGTCATAAAAGGACTGACTGTAATATTTATTGTGTGGGAAAGAAAAAAGATCACTAAAATTACAAAAGTAAATTAGACAAATCTTCCACCTTTTCCATACAATCACTGTTAGAAGTGTCAAAAAGACTCCTTTTCCCTAGCAGAGTTCAAAATTGCATTCCTAAGCCACAGACATTACCAACATGGCAACATCAGTGAGACAGTGCAACCATTTCCACACGACTAGTCCAGCAAAATTTTACAGCACAGACAAGACTGAAGTGGAAGTCAGTAAAACAAATTCATCATCAGTTCTAGTACTGAGCTTCACAGGTTTTAGAGATTCACACCAGGATGTTGTCTGAGCCAGAAACCTTTCGGATAGCCTCTTGTGCCTTGCAGTTAGGGACGATTCCTATGATAAAAGCAGCACCTCAATCGCTCACATACTGACTTCCTTGCAAAACTCTACTGGTACTCTGACTGATTCTTAAACTCCTGTAAGCACAACTTAAACCTCCTTATGGAAAATTATTAGTTCCAGTAAGGTCTTATGTCTTCTTCACTGTGTGGCAGGGGTTTCGCCAGGGAGGAGCAATAGTGATACAGTTGCAACACTTGCTGAGGTCACTGCTTCTCCGCATACCCTTAAAATACAGAAGGTGAGGCTTTTTATAGCAACTGGAAACTGCTTGTCAGAGGCATTAAAACTGTCTCTTGGAAGTTTTGTGCAACTAAGCATTACCTGCAGCACCGGCTGTGAGGTCAATAACAGCCTGAACAGCAGAGTTGATCCTCATGCTTCACACTTGTTTATCAGTTTTTTCAGAGCAAAGTCTCCCGTTTCTTGGTAGGTAATGGAGATACTTGTCTCCTGAGGGAAGAGGAAGATGAAACATACACAGTTTACAATAACTTGACAGGCGAAAGCATTACAGGAATGCTTTCAGATCCACTCTTCCATTTAGAGACAGAAAATGGTTGTGCTCAGGAATGAGACTTAGCATATTTGTATTTGGACTGATTTTGCTGCATTGGGCAGGTCTCCCAGAGTATCACTGCCTAGCTTCAGCTTACTTGAGCTTTCCAGCTTCTTATGTCCCTGGATCTCTCAAATGAAAGCAAAAGAATACATCCAGGGAACAGTGCTGAGGGTTACTTTTATATTGATTATAGAGGCACAGTCTTCCCTCGGGTATCTAAGGCTGTAATATGCTTGTCTCAGCTCCTCACCTGTAAAGCTCTGTTCTCCTCATGGTGAATGAAGAGCAGCTAAGAAAACTCTACTCATGATGATACACATACACTGGGCTTTCAGAAGAGGAGTAGAAAGGGAATGAACATTAATATCTTATATTGTGTCTGGTTGTCATGTTCCTAGTACAAGTCGTCGTCATCCCCCCCAGAATATGATAAATAAGAATAACACCTCGTCTCTCAGGAAGGCAGCTGGAAAGCAGAAATGCAAATGTGATACTTTGAAATAAAACATTCAAATTAATTCAGTTCTCAAGTTTGCAGCAAGATACTTTCACTGGGCAAGCAGTTAAAACAAGCTTATTTATCTGGGGTAAAATAACTCAGCCAAAGAGCTCCCACTGTTTCAGAACCATACAGACACTTCTCTGGCAGTGCTGTCAAAAAGCTGCATGAGTCTTAAAACCCACACAAATACACATGTGAATTAGTGCCTCACTGGCTTATAAGCCTGTCTTCAAGCACAGTACATCAGTAAACATAACAATTTTCACTCGTCTACCTACTGTAATGCTTCTTTTGAAGCCCGTTACCTCCCAAAATATATTTTGGCATAATATGAATGGGAAACATAATTCCCAGTAGGCTATGTTGCAAGAATCATAAAAAGACATTGTATATACCACATCCTTTGTACAAGAAACATAGACACTTGAATACAACCAAGGGTTTAAGAAAGCCTGTCTCTTAACAGATTTATTATTCTTGAACACTAAAAAAAACAACACCACTAGGCCAAATACTGTCACTCAGTGACTTCACCCATCCAATCTGTTACATACATCTAAATGAGTTCAAAACAAAATAAAATATTGCTCTTGCAATAAATGGCGCTAACACAATTTCACAATTGTGGCTTCAGATTTGAACTGTTTTGTTACTGACAGCATAGCTCACTAGGTGTTACTTCAAAACGGAGGCTCCAAGGCCTTGTTAATTACCCATTGTTATCCTATCTATCTCCTTAGTGTTCACACTGTGCTCTGAGTGTTGCTCCTCATTTAGGAGAGAAGAAAACAAATCATTGAGACAGACTTTGAATGAAAGGAATTACTAGAGAGCAACAATTGCCTGTGTTCAGGAAAATGTACACCGCTTTCATCACGCTGAGTGCTTTTCGACTTGTGCCAGTCCTCAAAGGGAGCACATGCCAGATTACCCACTGAAAACTTGGCAGCAGAAGGAAAAAAGTATATGCCTGTAAAAATATGGACCTTTTAAAAGACAAGAAAGTTTAGTTGTCTGATCCACATCAGCACAGTGCCACTTTGAGAAGATTTAAGTCTTAGTCAAAACTAAATTAGCATTATATGAGTACATACCTTTTTTTTCCTGTTTGTGATAATACTACTACATTAAAAGTTGCATGTAGGTAGAACGAGGCAGCAACTGTTCTGTGACTTCCAAAGCAAATCCAAACTCAAACCTGGAAATACAGAAGCGTTAGTTAGTGTAACAAGTCCTGCAGAGTCCTCTGCAAGCAGATGTTATTTCAGCCCCGTATGTTTCTCTCTGCCGATGCCCTCTCCAAAGACGGAGCCACACTCAGGAGGAAGCGCTTCTCCTTGCAGTAGCCCGCGTGGGCAGGCCGTAGCCCCGCTTCCCAAGGTCACAGCAGGCCGGCACCCCGGCGGCAGCAGCGGGGCAGCACTGGGGCTCACCGCGGGCTGTCACACGTGCTGGCGGTGGGAGCGCACCGACCGCTCCCGGGCCATAGCGCCAGCTCCAGCCTTCCTTAGGGAGAAAGGCTCCGGACTCCCGTTCCGCCAGCACCCGCCGTTTGGAGCAGGAAACCCCGGCCTGCGCTCGGCGGAGGCCGCGGGGGCAGAGCCCGCCCGACCCCGGCCCCGGCCCGGCGGCTCTCCCGGGCGGCCGCGCACGCAGCCGCAGCTTCCCGAGGAGCCGCGCATCGCCGAGCCCGCGCCCGCCGCGCATCCCGGGCCTGGGCGCGCTCCCGAGCCGCGGGAACCCTCCGGGCCGGCCGCCGGCGGAGAGGGCGAGCCCGCTGCCCCCCACCCCGAGCCCCCGCTCACCGGAGCCGCCGCCGCCCCAGCGGCCCCGCCGCCTCTGCCCCGAAATAGGCGGCGATGGAGGCGGCGCGGCCCCGCCGCGGCCCCGGGGAAGGCGCGGGCCGGGCAGGCGGCGGGGGGGCGGCGGGGCTGGGCTGTGGTTAAGCTAGGGCTGGGCTGTGTTTCAGCTTACTGAGAGGGGTGCAACGGAATTAATTAAAACCACCTTTTTTAAAAAAAAATTATTGGGAATTTTTAGATGTATGTTTGTTTGTTTATTTTTTTTCTAGTTGGGTGATTTTGTTGTTGGGTTATTTTTTGTTTTAAAGGATTTGTTTAGGAATTGTGTATCCTGAAATAGCAACAGTTTATGTATACAGAGGAACTGCCGTGAGTCCCAAGACACTGTCCTAAACTGTCACCTTTGTGATCCTGGCTTTTTGGGACTTTGAGCTGGCATGTAGTGACCCTGAAGTGCTTGCAATAAGGCTCATCAGGAACAATGCCTGGCTGAAAGCAGTCGGACACTGTACAGTCTGTGGCAAGGTAAATGAACAGCAGCCATAATATGTATCAGTGCTCAGTCATATTTGAGTTACTCTGCCAGACCAGGAAGTGTTTCTGGGAAGCACTGTATGCCCTGTAATCCCTGTTGAGCTGCACATGTGTTTGCGTGAGCTGACTTATGCAGACCTACATATTTCATCTTAGATCCATGGTGTTTTCCACCAAATTAAGCCACAGCTTTTCACAGCTCAAACCAAGCAAAGAACAGCATAAACAAAATTATAAACTTAAATATATCGTTTTTTCCCCATCATCTTTAATTAATTGCAAGGTTCGGATTTTCATTTTTTGTATGTTTATGTAACATATTGGTTGGAAGGGAGCTTAAAGACCACCTAATTCCAAACCCTGCCATGGGCAGGGACACCGTTAGACTGAGTAGCTCAGTTTCATCCAACCCGCCCTGAACTCTGCCAGGGATGGGGCATCCACAGCTTTTCTGGGCAACCTGCTTGAGTGCCTCACTACCCTCACAGTAAAAAAGTTCTTTCTAACAACTAATCTAAACCCACTGTCACTTTGAAGCCGTGCTCCAGCTCTCTTGTTGGCTCCCTTCAGGTACTGGAAGGCTGCATTTTGGTCCCCCTGAAGCCTTCTCTTTTCCAGGCTGAAGAATCCCAATTCTCTCAGCCTTTCCTTGTAGGGGAGATACTCCAGCCCTTTAATCAACTTGGTGTCCCTCCTCTGGACTTGCTCCAACAGGTCTGTGTCCTTCCTGTACTCATGACCTCAGGGCTGGATGCATTACTCCAGGTGTGGCAATTGTTAAGGAAGAAAAGCCTAGGTTATAGATGGTTTTAGGAATTGAATTGTAATTTCTTTAATGTAAAATAATTGCTGAGCCTGTTGTAATTAGTGATTAATTTTTAATTTAATTAACAATTAATTGTGCATCCCAAATAACCCGCAATACTTAGATATTACTGTATCATTGCAAAGAATTTTGACTTGTATGCTGACTTCTTATTTAGCAGGACTGCAGCACTATTGGAAGATTCAGCGGGTGAATGCCATCTAAACTCCTAATGCAATGATGTTTGCCATTAAGATACCATTAAACTATTAAACATGCTGCCTGCCATTAGCGTTTGCCACCTGAAGCATTTTAGGGTGCTCCTTCACAGCCACATTCCTCAGGCAGACCACCAGGCCTGACCTGCTCTTATCTGGTCCCTGTGGAAAAGATGGAGACGGTGACTGCACCTGAAATGTTGCCTGGGAGCTTATAAAGCCCTGGAATGCAGCACTTCCACGAGCATATCGCCACCACGAGGCTTTTTCTGCTGCCTGCACCCGTGGCTGCTCAGCCAAACCGTACTTTTGTCCATGCCCCGAGCTGGTGGGGAGCACTTTTTTGTTGTTGTTGTTTTAAAGGAGAATTTATTTAGGAATTGCATACCCTGAAGTAACAGCACTTGGTGTGTGCAGGGAGACCATGGAAGAACTGCCATAACTCCCGAGAGACTCTCCTAAGATGAGGTATCAATCTGTTTGGAGTTTAATCTCAAGCTTCCCTTCAAAGGATTTAGGCATGACAGAAATGGGACATGTTGCAGAGACCTTAACTTGTAAGAGCTTTGTAGGAATGTAGAAGTGCTTTCTGGCACTCAGGAGTCTGGCTTGGGGTATGTGTGATTGGCTTTGGTCCACTGTGTGACAGAGTGGCACAACTCCTCTTCAACAGGGTATTTTGGCAATTTTTGGAGGGATGGGTAACCTCTGGGAGATGGGGAGCTAACTGGGGGATGCCATGGAAACTTGTCTGATGTGGGAGAGGAAAGAGTTCTCTTGCAGGGTGTTTCTGTCCATTTTGCAGGGTACTGGCAGTCCAAGGCTATCTCTTGCGCCCTACGCCATCTCCAGCCAAGCACAGACAAACCATTTGCCCCCTGTAAGGCAGTTTGCATTTCCTAATTCATATGGAAATCCTCATTGTCCAGGAGGATGGATGTAATTTCTTGGCAAGCATTGTCCCAGGATAGCAGCGAGAGCTGCAGAAACATCAAAACTCCCCCAGCACCTTGCAGTGGATATAGTTCCGACTGCTTGGAGAGGTGGGTCAAGCAGGACATTACCACATGGAGGAAAAGTGAGATGGCTCCTGCAGGTAAGGCCTTACGCAGGTGACAATGCTTTGTGTGCTGATGTGCTACAGTCAACTGCAAGAGATGGGACAGTGCTGGCCTTTCCAGGGTAGACTGCAGTAGTGAAGAGAAGGCTTGGGGACGTTTTTGAAGCAAGTTTCAGAAAGATGTCAGCCTTAACCTAATGCCTCTCTGGCACAGAGAAGCCCAGAAGTGGACAGAGCACTCCAGATGTGGCCTCAGCAGGGCTGAGCAGAGCAGGATCACTTCCCTCGACCTGCGGCAGTGCCCTCCTAACACCTAAACTCCTGGCGCCGAGCGGTAAAGCTGCCAGGGAGCGTCCTGTCCGGGATGGCTTTGCCCGGGGGCGCTGCGGGGCGGAGCCGGGCGGAACGCTGCTGCGCGGAACTCCCGTGCGCGGCTCGTGTTGCCGGCCGGTGCGCGGGGAGCGCGGGCCGCGGGCGGCGGTGGCGGTGCGGCGATGTGGGGCCGCGTGCGGGGCGGCGGCGGGATCGCGGCCCGGCTGCTCGGGGCGGCGGCGCGGCCGCACGGCGGGGCCCAGGGCAAGGCCCGCGGCAAGGCCCGCAGGTACCGGCCTCCCCCACACGCTCACCTGGCGGACGGCGCCGGCCGGCCATTGCCGTGATGCCGGGCCGTGCCGTGCCGCAGGGCGCGTCCTTCAGAGGGACGGGGTTCACCCGTCCAACCGGGGCTGGGTGGCGGTGACACGGTGGGCAGACGGCAGCGGGGAATGGAGTCGGGTAGAGGGAAGTGGCGTGGGCCGTGTTTCTCGTACTGATTTCCTTGCCGTCCTTCCCATCTGGAGCGGTATGAATGATCCGCATGTGTGACCTGACCGTAGTTTTGCACCCTGCATCAGCAGAGCAGCGCTGCCTGTTGGGCATTGTTATAACTGCCCAAGCACGGGCTAAGAGCACTATTTGGGAGTTCTTTTTCATTTTTACGAAAAGATTTTAAACTGCTTCTAATGACAGCTCAGTTGTGCGTTTATTTATTTTTTTAGTTTTGAAACTCCTCAGTATTTTTGAGCAAGCACCGATGCTGTTATGGTCTCATGTTCAAAGCAGCTCGGGTTCTATGGTAACTGTTTGCTTTCCGAGGCCAAGCTCCCCAGCAGAAGGCAAACTGAATGGTAGGTGAGTTACGGGGATGCAAACTGCAATGTGCTGCTGGCTTTAAGTGCCTGAGGCTTTCAGACTTGCTGTGCTTTTCCGGTGCTGTAGGCAAAGATCAGGCTGAGAAGGTTGGAGCTGTTCAGCCTGGAGAAGAGGAGGTTGCACGGAGACCTCACAGCAACCTTCCAGTATCTGAAGGGGCCTGCAGGGAAGCTGGAGAGAGACTCTTTGTCAGGAATATGGGTACAAATTACATCAGGAGTAATGGATACAAATGGAGAGAGGGGAAATTTAGGTTCAGTATCACGAAGAAATGCTTTTGCTTGAGGGTTGTGAGCTGCTAGAACAGGTTGCCTAGGGAGGTTGTGAATGTCCCAGCCCTGGCAATGTTCAAGGCCTTGAGTGACCCAGTCTAGTGGGAGGTGACCTTGCCTGTGGCAGGGAATGTTAGGGCTAGGTGATCTTTAAGGTCCCTTCCAACCCTTTAACATTCTATGATTCTGTGATGTCTGAATGGTTACATAGTCTTAAGGAGCATGCAGCCTGAATTAACAAAAAAGGAGTTTGTGAAGGACCTGTGGAGAACAGTGCTGTGTATAATAGCAGGGTTCCAGTGATGAGGTTCTGAAGCTTTCCTTACATTTTCCTGTTGCTTCTCAGCATTGAAATTTAGGGTTTAATGCTGACAATATATCAAGTGCAGTGTGACCAAAGTGTGATGCGGTGCCTGCTGAAACTGGCAGATTTTGGTTT